AGATGGATTTTTTGTTGAGAATTCTGAAGAAATACCATGGAAACTCTAAAGAGAATACGAATTCAGGGTCCAAGATCATTCAGAACAGAAATTTAAGACTATTTCTGAGGTTAATTGGGGTGGGAATTCTAAGGAGACTTCAAGTAAATTAATGATTCTAGGAATAATCAAGGTTAACTTACCTAAATACATAGAATTTTTTAAGATTTTGAACGCAGAAACAAATTCAAAATCTACGAAAAGTACTGCAGTTGTAGTTAACCCTATTTAACTTAGTGGCTTCATTGGTTTATACATTATTTTAAATGTATGTCGCACAACCAGTAAAATTTACAAAACTCCAGGAAACCCCGAAAAAGCTTAAAATTTCTTTTTTCTGGTCATCATAGGTTCCATGACAAAAAATGGAATTTATTTCAATATCGAACCGTATTTGAATTTCTGAGTTACCTACCATATTTATTATTTATAAGTCACTATTTGGTCTTTATTTTCGTAATTTTAGTCACTAAAGTCACTACTATTATACTACCAGCCCTGATATTTTGTATTTGTTGCAACCCGAATGATGATTTTTTTGTTTTCAAACAAGCATTGAGGCTACATAAACCTGTTGATTTTTTTGACTTTAAATGATCTTTATTTCTTGTGTTTGTGTGGTTTACATGTATGAATTTTTTAAGTGACACAGATGCGTCTTTTCAACTTTAGTACATTTGAGATTTTAATTATTATTTACAGTTCCTAGTCCTATCAGGCCTATTTTAAAGTATGACCACCTTGGTGGGATTGGTTTGATTTGAATTGGAAAAAGGAGATTACTTATAACTACTATTTACAACTACAACTAACCTACAACTACTATGTACACCTAACCTACTATATACAAATGGCTTATCAAAGCATGTTCTGATAAATTACATTTTTGTGCAAATTTAGTCTTAATTTTGTTAATTTTGGAATCTATTTTGGCAATGCCTGCCTCTTCATGTAAATTTGTTATTCTAGTGTCGAAAGGACGATCAAGAGCCATCCTCAGCACTCTATTCTGAGCGACCTGAATTTTGTTCCTGTGAGTCTTTGCACATGATTCCCACACCGGAGCTGCGTAGAGGATCGCAGGTGCTATGATTTGTTTGTAGACGGCCAGTTTGTTCACCCTTGAGAGGCGGGATCTGCGGCAAATCAGCGGATACAGACACCTACCCAAGGTAGAACACTTGACTACAGTTTTCTCTACATGCGAACGGAAGAGGAGCTTTTCATCGATCAACATCCCGAGATAGGTTACTTCAGCGGACCACTCAACCCTTGTGCCATCCATGATTACAGTACAAGATGGAGCCGGTTTCAGTTTGGGCGATTGCCGATGGAGGAACATGATCGCTTGTGTTTTGGAGGGATTGATTTTAATTTTCCACGTGGTGGCATAATCAGCAAAGGCGTTAAGGCATCGTTGAAGTTTGTTCGTTATTTCGCGAGGCATCCTTCCTTTGACGGCTATTGCGGTATCATCTGCGAACAGGAAGAACACGCAACCGTCTCCAAGGGGAGGAATGTCGGAAGTGTAAATGCTGTAAAGCAAGGGGCCCAGCAGACTGCCTTGCGGGACTCCTGCTGGGATGGAAAACGTGTCTGAAAGACAACCATTCAACGATACCTTAAACGACCTTTGCTGGAGGTAGCTACGGGTGATTTTAACCAGATGTAATGGGAAGTTGAAGTTAGAAAGCTTGTACACAAGTCCGTCATGCCAAACATTGTCAAACGCCTTTTCAACGTCTAACAAGGCCATGGCTGTGGACTTGGATACAGCTTTGTTACTTCGGATGTTATTCATCACCCGTACTAGCAGGTGATTGGTAGAGTGTCCCTTTCTGAATCCAAACTGTTCCGGAAGGAGCATGTTATTTTCCTCGACAAACTTGAGCAAACGATTGAGAATGAGTTTCTCGAACAATTTGCTCAGCTCTGAAAGGAGGCTGATTGGTCTGTAGCTTGAAGGCAATGTTGGATCCTTACCGGGATTGCGGATTGGTATGATTTTTGCTACTTTCCAGATGCTTGGAAAGTAGTGCAGTTCCAAACATCTGTTGAAGATAGCGGTTAGAAGAGACTGCACTTTCATGCTAAGTCTCTTCAAGATCAAGTTGAATATACCGTCAAACCCGGGAGCTTTCATGTTCTTGGTGCATTTCAGCGCTGAGCAAATCTGTTGTACTGTAATCATATCCGCCGGAGGCACGACACAAGGGGAGGCATCTAGGTTTTGAACGCATTGCGCAACCTGATCTTCGAGCGGACTTTAAACCTGTTGATGGTGACACACAAAATTTTATGAACCGTAGAAACCCACCCTCAAATCATTCAATTATTGATTTATTTCACTGTCCGGGAGTCTCAAAAACAATCCTACAGACTGCTGACTTACTGCTAGCTTAGCACCCAACAAATTTGTTTTTCTGGTGTCTTTTTATTCTTTATTTTATTTATTGCAAAAAGATATAAAAAAATAGATCTTTGAAAAAAAAAAATGTTTTCTAACTCAAGACAAAATTGAAAAATTATACACTCAAATAAAATCTGTACTTGAAAAATCACGTAACCTCTGGAACATCCCACTTCAATCATTTCCAATGTCAAATAAAAGTTTGATAACATTTACGTGATTTTCATGTTTGTTGATGCACGTCCAATCTACTTGAAAAATCACGTAACTGCTTCGATTGCTTCAACTTTAATTTTTTACACTATGGTAGTAAAATTGATAAACATAGCATGCCATGTTCACTGGAACTGATGATGAATGTGACAACATTTTCACGTCAAACTTGTGTGTGCGGTTGTGTGAGTGTGTTTGTGCTTAAGTAAAATGAGTACGTGATTTACATGTATGCAAAAGTGATTCAAATTAGTGGAAGAGATTGCTCTATGTTTTGGATTCCCTAACAGTAAGCAGTACCCTGTAACTGTTTGAAGGTATTTTTATTGCTTCATTTGAAAACCGCGATACACTACTAATTATATTTATTTCGATTTCAGCGGCTGCATTACAAGATTTGATTTACTGGCATCTTCCAAAGATCAAAATCTACAAGCAGTTTCAATGCAAACGGATATTGTATCTGAAGCGAGATCTGAATGGTCATGATCAATTGTTGTTGGGGATGCGAAGCGGTCAGTGTTAAAGTTTCAATGACATGCTTGACTTATCAATAAAAAAAATATGCTAAACATGTTTGAAAATAATTATCTTGGAAAAAAATGAAAACAATATTTGTCTCATCCGGTAAATATCACTTCAAAATAACGTAAATATTACGTGAAAATAGTATTTTCCAGTAAATATCATTTCAAAATCTCGTTAATATTACGAGATAATCCCTTCCAACCTAAGTGGAAATCACGTTATATGTACCTTACTGTTCATGTTGACCTCTAAATGGGAATATTTTGAGCTACACGGTATTAACGTAAATGTTACGTGAAAAGTAGTATGGATGAAATATACCTATGTTTTCACGTAGATCGCACGTGCATAGTTTTTTGGAGTGCACGTCATTTGGTGAACCCATAACATGGATGTTTTACCAAGATATTCGAAAGAATTAACAAGCATTCATCATTTTAGGACCACCGAAATCATCTTTGCAACAAGTAGTTTGAGTTATTTGATAAGGAGGAAGTAGAACGATTAATGTACATTTTTCGCGGATTTCTCTGCTCTGTTACTTAAGACAACTGCATCTCCACAGAAATCGGGAGATTTAAGTAACAACGAGAAATATTTTGCTCGCAAGGTGCTTACGTCAAAAAGTAATTTGATTAATATTCGAACAATATCTAGTGTAATAGTATCAGGAGCATCGATTGACACTGATAACTCGATTTTTAACATTGGTTACTTTCGACGTAATGACAATTATTTGTTCATGAATTGGTCACTTATTTGAACCTCACGGGAACATTTAAAAAAATAAATTTACCCTATAGAACGATGAAAAAAAAAAACTCAAGAACCAAGGGCAAGACCGCTGCAAGGGAAAAAGGAAAACACTTTGCATATTTCTAATTTCAATAAAATGTTACCGTTGTTACACGAACAATCCAGTAATTCCTAATCCGTTATACATAATCCAATTAATAGTTGATGATGTAATGTGTCTAAAAGTTATCCGAACGTAGTTGTTCGTTATGACATTCGTCTCAGAGCGGTTTTCTGATTTGGAATTGTTTATCCGAGTGACATACAGCAATATCAATCCATGATCTTTTCAAAGAAATATACCAAAATGAGGCAACATGGAAACAGCTTTTAGACATAACTCAAAACTTTCAATACTGTGATTTATCGTGAGAGATAAAATGAAACGTTAGAAGGAACTGCGGAGTCAGAAAAAATATAGGTACTCAAAATATCTCAGGAGGAACTTCGGGTCTTGATGAAAATTTTCCCAAAGCGTTTGAAGAAATAATATGTTTAAAGTACACTACTCATATTGCTATTAATTGTGAAAAAAAAACATTTAGTTATAAATTTATATAAACCTGTTTGGGTAAGAATCAATTGTGAATCGAACATTTCGCCGTATCCCACTAACACGGTCTTGCTCCAGATTCTGTTTTTTTTTTTAATCTAAAAAGAAACACTAAGGTTAGCTAACAATTGCTTTTAAAATAAGGTACACAATAAATGATGATAGGAAATTGAAAAACTAAAAAAAAAAATCCACTCAAGTCGACTGCATCTTCTCTTGGCTTCAATTGATCGCGTGTGATAAGTGAGTTCTGCCAGTTGCCAAACATCGACATGTGGCGGAGGTTCGGTAATAATAAAAAAAGAATGTTCGTATCAGGAAGAATGTTGCCCACTCTGCTGTTCGTCCAGTTCTCTGTTTCACCCTTGACCCCAGTTTGAGAAAAGAAGAAGTATCCGTAAAAAACAAAACTCCCCTCCTATAAATTCCGGCAAATCGCAATGTTTTACTCGAATCTTGCAGAGAAAGCCCTGAGCGAAGCAGTAGCCACAGACAACGTACCTTCACCCCCGATGGCGATATCCAGGGACGTCGACCTTCGTATTCCACCGCCGGGTCTGTTGAAGGATGTTTCGGACAGCATTGTGCCCCTTGTGGCTCCTGTGGTTGCGGCCACCACCACCACTGCCAGCAGCACCAGCGAAGTTGCTCCCATCATGGACGCTATTCCGACGACGCTGGGTGCTGGCACGGGATTACCGTCGGATGGAATTAAGAAACGGCCGAGTAATGCAAAGCTTGAAGAACCAGCCATCAAGAAGAGCAAGTCGGAGAAACTAGATATGTATGAACATTGGATTATGCAATTTTAGTTTTCGAATGGAATCTAAATGAATATTTTTTTTTTAGATTATTTGGGAACGAGGATGTTGATCTCAGGAAGCTAGCGGGGCCGATGAATCCCATCGATCCGATTACACCTCTACCCCCACCCCCACCGATCATATCAGAAGCAACTACGCGACCGATGGCCTCCAACAGCCTTCAGGTTTCTTACTGTAGACTTAAGATCGCTTGAACAAGTTTTGACCTTCCATTTCGTTTACAGAATGAATCAATAGACAAGCACAATGCGGCCCCTTCGTCAAAAGCAGCACTGGAAGCAGTTCGGGCTAAAATTGCCGAAGCCACCAAGAACAAAGATCGTGACAAGCTGGGGCGACCGTTGTTGTACAACAAGCTATCAGGTAGTTATCTTCGGTTGTTCCGACTCTTGCCGGTATTTGATATGGGTTTTCCTTTAGATGATCCGGTTGAACGACGTCGCTCATTGAATCAGACCAAACCGATGGACGTCGATCTACGCCAGCAACAGCAACAGTTTCAGCACCAGGATGCAATCGGTGATGATAGCTCTCAGGATGGCATGAATGCCAACATCAAAACGATCGTCGCTCAGGCTCAGGAGCAAATGGAGAAAGGTGAAATCACTCCGGAACAGTACAACATTCTGATGAAGCAGGTCATTCAGTTGAACGAAACCCAGAAGATCCGACAGGCCCAGCGCATGGAAATGATGAAACGTAACCAACAGCCGCCGATGATTTCAATGCCCCTTCAAGCTTCGGATGACAATGCCAACACGCATTCTGGCGAAGAGGTGGCGAGCTTCAGTCCCAGTTTGAGCGACGACGGTGATATAAAGCCAAGCGGTCCTCCGGCTGTTGCTCCGCAGGTGATGAACGATTTCCGAGGAAAAATTACACCGATCGATGCCAAGCCGAAGATGGAGCCTCAGTTCCCTAACGCGGCACCAGTTGTGGGTGATATTAGGCAACGGGGTAAGTTGAATTTTGTCCCGCGTAAAAATCGGTTGCTAAAAGGTACATTTACATTTTCAGATCCACGTCGGCAACACGAAACGCGTTTCAATCCGCAATGGGGCATCCGTGCATCGATGCCCGTTCCTAATGCAATGCCACCGGTAGTGGGACCGGTGTTGAATCAAAGGCCACCAGGTCCAGCCCCTATGGTGAATCCTTGGGATCAATCTCCGTTCGCTGTTATGAATCCGAAGTTGGCTCCACCGCCCATTGGACCTCGCTTCCCTCCAGTTCCTATAAACAATGGACCTCCAGTCAATATGCTCGTTCCTGGAGTGCCCAAGATGAATGACAGTGTCAGGACCATAAACATTGATGGCATTCAACGGGAGATACGTTTTTACGACGATATCGCTGTAATCTTCATGAGCTGGGACGAACCGAAAGAGATCGGTTTCCAGAAAGGATCCCGAATGGTCGTGGTCGATGATCGGGACTCATTCGAACTGAGCTTCAATGAGTGCCACAAGGCCATCACCATCGAGAGCAAAGTATACCAAATGAAGTTGGGTGCTCCTACTAGAGAACTATACATTGATAGCAGCTGGTACGAGTGCTATTTCGGGGATCCACCCACGAACATCGTATTGGATAATATCAACCGTGTGTTCAAAATCAGCGGACCGGCCCCTCAGGTGAAGATCGGCAATAGTCGTAACGATCTAGTCGCTGGTAAAATCAATATGATTGTCAATGCTGAGGTCATTGTTCCCGTATTCCTTGATTCTCAAGTTCAAATGTTCGAAATATATGGCCAAATGCACAAGCTACAGTTTGCTGATTTCCTACTAACGGTAGTCATCGATGACCAACCCTTCCCGGTGGAGTACGGTGGCCTACCGAAGGTATTTAAGCTCAGGGGAAAAGATTTCTACATCCGGTTTACCGCCGTGCCGAAGTTGGTAGTTCCCGGTCGTGTTTACATCAGAGACATGATCCGAACGCCACTTCACCGTGATCTTCGAACGCCGCCAAGAGATCAAAGTCTTCTACCACCCTTCGTTCAACCTATGAACAATCTGATGGCCACAATGGGAGTTCAACATTCAGTGCCTTCGTTATTCCCTGCAGCAGCTTCCATGCAGCCTAAACAGCCGATGCACATGCACCCCACGGCAACCGGTCTGGATTATCTGACCAACCTGATGCCACATTCAACATCGCTTGTGAACGTTTCGAACAACTTGGCTGGCTATCAAATCCAACCCGATGACAAACCGGTCGTCCCATCAGTACCTGCTCCCGCTCCAACCAAACCGACCTCTGGCGGTCTAAACCTACCAATTCTTCAGAACCTCAACATAGACGAACTCTACCAGAAGATCGTTGCCGCTGGAATTCTCGGCAAGACCAACAGTATTCCAGCCAAAACTAATACCCCTACCACCGCCAACACCACTGTCACTTCATCCACATCCAGTTCGACCGCTAGTAAGCTGGAGAAAGCCCTTGAAGAAGACTTCGAAGAAATCGAACCAGTATTCCTAAACAAACTGGATACGCTGAAGCGCCGGCAGTCGGCAATTGTTTCGCAACTATTCATCGGAATGCAGTGTAGCAGCTGCGGCGTCCGATTCCCTCCGGAACAAACCATGAAATACAGTCAACACTTGGACTGGCATTTCCGACAGAACCGCCGAGATCGTGATTCGGCTCGTAAGGCGCACTCTCGTAAATGGTACTATGATGTTTCCGATTGGATTCAGTACGAGGAGATCGAGGATTTGGAAGAACGGGAGAAGAATTGGTTCGAATCACAGCAAACCGAGCAGATCGAATTCAACGGTGACGGTGAATCGGGAGGCGGTCGTGCTGGCGCCGAAACGCCTCCACCAAGCTGTCCGGCTGGATCGGACGAAGCGAGCAAACGATGCCACATGTGCCATGATGAATTTCAACAGTTCTACAGCGAAGAAACGGAAGAGTGGCACCTAAAGAACTCGATTCGAGTGGAAGACTGTACGTACCATCCACTGTGCTATGAAGACTACAAGGCGTCCCTAACATTGGACGAATCGGCCATGAATGCAACCAACGAGGAGGGAGATCAAAGTAAGACTGATGATGGTGTTAAGGTCAAACAGGAGAAGATCAGGGATGCTGGCGACACTGTAAAGGGTAAGTTTGATGGTCGGCAGTTGCCAAAAACTAGATTTTTAATTTATGAAATCCTAAACTTTTTCGCAGAAATCAACTTAGATGATGACGACGATGTCATAGTGCTGCCACCCACGGAGGATGTCGTTACGGAAATACCGGACGATGACGATATCGAAACGTTGGATTCGCATTCGACGAATGATGATGCGCGAACTACCTCCGCTGCTGGAACAGCTACTACAGCGGATGATGAGAATAGCAAACCTGGCCAAGCGGAAGACGAATCTAGCAACGCTGCAGCTCCACAGGAACCGAGGATCGTCGAAACACGAATCGACGACGACCTCGCCATTCAGGAACCCACGATCGAAAAGATCGATGTCAACGATCTGGACGAAAGTGAATCCAACGTGAAATCCGACAGGGCGGCCGAAAGCGCGCAGGTGAAGGTGAAGGAAGAACCGCAAGACGACGACGAAGTCGACGAAGAGGATGAACTATTTGAGGATGTTGGCACGATTGAGTCCTCGATGGTGGAAAGCTCCAAAGAACCAGGTAAGAGATCAAAGTTAATTCGTTGGAATTGCGTGCTTGTGTGTCGATTGCTGTATCGCTGATTATGGGTATCTGCTGCAGGCGATAGAAGATTCATCATGTTAGGTTTCTGATTAGGCTCAAAAATATTTCAAAAAACTTTTATTCCTTACATCAGTTTGTTTTGTTTTGTCGCGGGAGTCGCGGATAAGATGCTCGAATTGTGTAATCTATTGTGTGCTGTTGAATCTATTGTCATCACCTTTTCTGTTTAGCTGTGCAGAAGTACCCATGATTTGCAATACGCAGCCTTTCATATACACTGAAACAAGGACCATAATTAGGAATACTATTTTGCAGAAAACACTTACTATCAATATAGCCACGCTTATTACTGTTAAATCGACTATGAATTCAGTATATTGTACTATGAATGTTAACAAATTTACTATGGTTCTGGCAAAAATACTATGCTTGCTCAAAATGCATAGTAATTTTGATAGAAATAATAGTAAAATTAAATGAAATTGTTTTCTGCAAAAATCTATTGGTGAGGGTATTTAATTTAAACCAGCAATATAGTATTTTTGCCAATGGATTTTTGTTTCAGTGTATGTGCACAGTTGAGTCACAGACAAACAGACGTAACTCTTTAAATAAATTTTCCTTAAAAATATCGTCACGGAACTCGCTAACGTCATTTCTTGCCAAGTCTCAAACACTGATTGCATACAAGTTCGATAGAATGTAATAGAAACGTCAAATTGATCCGATGGTGAGGGATGCGCGAAACTATCTAGTTCGTTTATTTGGCAGGCTCAATCGTTTTATCTTTACGGAGTCGATAACTCATTGTTCATTAATTCGCGAAACTAATTTTCATTTAAATTGAACGTTAAATGCGTGTACGACGATTGAGGAGAAAGAGTTACGGCTGTGTCTATGGTCGAGTGTAATGTTCAATACATGGGGTTACGGTAAGTTATACTCTTATTAATCGGAATGGTAAGAATGGCTTTATGGTCAGGTGAATAAATACATTTAAATCTTGAAATTATATCTGGGAAAATATAGAGCGGCGTTTTTTAATCTATGGGTCGCAATCCATCGGTGGGGGTCCCGCGTGGGTCGCAAAAATTCAAACAGCTGGAATAACAAATTATAAAAAAAAAACAAACATTAAATCAAAATTTCAAAGATATTTTTTGTCGTTTCTAAATCATTTATGGATTTCAAAGTCATTTTTGTGATAAATTAATTTGCGTTTCTAAGGACATGTTGACGATTTCAGGACTATTATGTAATATAATTTCTGAAATGTTTTGGCGGTTTCAGGCCATTTGTGCGATTTCATTCATTTTGGAAAGCCAATTAAATTTTTGGCATTTTTATGACTATTTTGACGTTTTACGATTCCTAGTTTTAGCTATCATAAGACCTGTGGGAAAGGTGGAATATGTTAAATTTTAATTGCAATGTTAAGAAATTGGCTCCGTAAAGCTCTGGCGTTTGAGCTTGTTAAATATATGATCATTTTGACTTTACAACATCTGTGTTCAATATTGTAGGGTCGCGAGCTTATGGAATGTCTCAAAGTGGGTCACAGTCGACAAAAGTTTGAGAACCACTGATATAGAGTAATGACAGGGTTGACCGTGCAGTCAATTCCCCTTTCTCCGCGCATATCTACAAATTGGGTACCTCCCTAAGTCCGTGTCTCGAAATCACTCGATGATATCTCGAATAAATTTCAATCAAAAGTGGTTGGAAAGCATATCATATACTAATGCACATGTATTGCACTTATCTCACACTGTTCCCGTACCTCAGACACAGTTGACGTCGAAGCCGTTTCATCGCCAACGCCTCCACTGGAAAGCACCAGCCAGGGACAGCTGACACCTTCACTCGATGGCAACGTCGAGCTGCAGGACAACCTAACGACCGGTATTATCACGAATAGAATTAAAATCAATATCACAAAGGCAAAAACCACCCCGGCGGCTACCAGTAGTAGCACGACTGCTAGTAGCAACCAGACCGGTGGATCGAGCATTGCCGTTTTGATCAGCGGCGGTGGTGGCGGAGGAGGAGGAGGCACCATGTACGACAACATGAACGACGATCTGCTGTACGGCAATCTCGACGACATCCATGGTGGTGGCCACAACGAAAACAGCCAAAGCAACAGCAGCAGTTTGATGATGATCATGCATGAAGAAGAACAAGAACAAGATGCTAATAATAAAGGACCGGTCGTGGCGACCGCTGAAGAAACGACTGATATTGATTATGACTTGAAGCCGAGTCTGCGGGGTATTGTGTTAACCCGGCAGCCTCGCGTAGAGAACGGATTTGAAACCTCCGGGCTCTGCTCCATAATGTAAGGTGGATGGGGAAATGAACTTCTACAAAAGCTACTACTGGTAGAGAGAAGCAGGAAGTGTAGCGAAAACAAAAATGTGATATTAAGCCATTTCCCGGACGGAACGCCCAAGGGGATCGCCAGCAAGGGTAAATGGCACATTTTATAATGAAAGAAAAAGCTATTAGTCATCTAAGTTAGTCCCACTACCGGAATGAACTGTTTCATTTTTGGCGAAAAAGTTCAGTACTATCAAAAAACACAAAACAGATGAAGAGAATCACAATTTTTACCTAAGTTAGGAATTCTGAGTTATGGTTTAGATTTAAGTTTTGTAGTTTTGAAGAAACATGAGTGGAAATAAATGAAACCATATCCTCCCTTTTGACCCTCCCAGGACTCTCCCGGCGTAAGGCGACACAAATTAGAAAACAAACAATCTCTAACGAGCAAAGCAAGTTATTGCAATAAAATAATGAATTTCAAGGTTTGTTTTGTAGTGTCTGTTTGCGAATCGTGCTGAAGGAGAAAGAAATTTTGCTGCAATTTCTTGCGTTAGAGAAACTGTAACCGTAGAGGGAAGATTATTTCACACACAAGCTTAGTATTATGTTTTGTTAGTTTGAATTTCGAACCTGAGTTATGTACATATTCACACAAATAGGCAAATATTATTGAATTATTATTTCTTGTGAAGAAAACATGCATTATTTGAGTTTTTTTCCTTACAACATAATGAACGGAAAACGTGCAACATTCACAGGATGATTTGTGGATCACACGGACGACGCTTACAAAAGGTGGGGTTAAAACGATCGTAGAAAGTAAATAATAAAATAAAATAAAAACAGTAATAATCACTCGTTTTTTCTTGTAGTAAATATCGAAAATAAACGTAATATAATTGGGATGAAGTGAAAAATAAAGTTCTAAATGAGAAAACAATACCCCTAACTTAGTATCTATTTCATTGTCTATGACACTTTAGAATACAATAAATCTATAACTACTAGTAGCATGTGTGGTGTTTCGGTGAGTTATCAATAAATAGTTGAACAACAAATATGAGTGTTTTATTTATCGGATGTCACGTCACTGTTAAAAAGTAATCGTTTAAATCCTGGCCACTTCCCCCGGTGCAGGGTGGAAAACCGGAAATCGTCAGGGAATTTTATTTTTCATTAAATTTTGAGGGAATTTTTCAATTCTTTCACCAATAAAATTTTTAAGAAAAGGATGTATTGAGGTACGTTAATGAATTTTCTCCTAAATTTTAAAACATAGGATAATGCAATCAACTTTATCTTACTCATTAAACTTGATAATTCCGGAGCGGATTTATCTTCAACAACAAACACAGTTTTTGCCAATTCTGAATTGTGTTTTTTAGGTTCTGGAACATTAATATTTTTACTGAGTTGAAACTTGGAAAATATCTCAAAAAATTAAACTTAAAAATAATCATACTTGAAGAAATGTTCAAGAATCTGGAACGAATTGGAAGGACAACAGGACAACCAAACAGGAAGATGTCCCAATAAGTGGGGAGAAGAGCCCGCCCTTTATCCACGAAATGTTATCAACAGGGAGTTGGCATTCCCACTCTCCCGTCCAAATCGCTTCAATCGGGTGCTCTGTTGGACCGTTCCTTCCCTATTATATATGTATTTCAATGCATATACGAGTTGATTGTTATGATTATTGTCAATAATACTTACATTTCGATGAAGATCGTGCTACTTATTTTACCTTTTTGTGATACTCATCATCACAGAATCCAACCTTGAATCGCAGACCAGGTCCATCAACAATACACTCGTTCCGAGAAGCGGCTCATGGTCATCATCTTCTTCTTCAGGTTCGCTCACCACCTCGAGGCTCGGTGCGGTTAGTAATATCAAACAGTGTTACATGCAAACGAAAAAGAGATACAACCAGGATTAGTTGTTTAAAGTAATAGTCATCTGAATACCCAACTAACCATATCTCAGTGACATTGCATTTTTAATGTTCTCCTGAAAGGACAAAACGACTTTGGGCACTCAAAAAAGCTACCTACATGGCTACCAATGGTAATTCCTGTGTGTCTACTATCTGAAAAAAACGGGAACCTTCAGAGACTTTTACTTTTCCTTGAAAAACCTGGAATTCTTAGGGAAGTTTTAAATTCTCTTGCGAAGCAATTTTTCAAGACAGAATTTGTGACATTCAAATAATCATTTCAGGGTTTTCAAAACATTTTATAATGCAATCAACTGTAACTTTCTCGATATTTTCTTAACTTATTGAGCTTAAGGTGAAAGCTAATGGTTTTCCGTTTGTTGACGCTGGGATAGACTGGCCGATACTCAAGGCCGTGAGTCTGTCTGTGCAGACGGTGCAGACGATGGACCGTTCGGACCACACCCAAATTCAAACTGCGCCAAAACGCACTATAGGCATTGCAAATAAGTAAAAAGGGGAGTATTGTAATTTATGCCAAACTTCCTAAATGGTAGGCACTTGTGGTTACCGGACTGGTTTCCAGCCCCGGTGTCTTCTACCGCTAGGTGCGCTAGCGTTCGCAAATGACAAGTGGAGCCAGTTTCGGATCCGAAGTTCCACTCCTGTGCACCCAGTATTATCATAGAGGTAACTCTAAGACCACTGGGTCCCGAAGAAAATCATTATTATTTTTGGCTCACTCAGTACCAGAACAACGGTCCCAAGCAGTCCCAAGCTATTTCACTCACCCCTGCATGTTCTGCATGAATCCACACACCCCTGATGTTATCTGTCAAACTTTCATAGCGAATCAAAACAAACATAGTGTAGTAATAGAATTTCAACTAGAATAGGGTACGTTAATCGTTTGCTTGGGACCAATAGGCTACTAAAGTGGTGAGCCAATTTAAAATCGTTAGTTTCGTATTGATTGTTGGCAAAAGTGAGTCGCTGAGTCTCGGATAATGCTTAGGTGAATCTCAGCAAACAAATGAAAGGTTTGCTGAGATCTCATTAAAACTTTTTTTGCCGAGATTTGCACAGCCGAGCTCGGCAGAAAAAAACTTACTGTGTGCACACAAAAAACAAAAATTGGATCAGTAAAAATATTAACCTTTCAATTTAAAAGTACCCAAAAATTCGTTACTTGAACTATGAAAATATCGAGGAAAATATTTGAAACAACAGGGTTATTTTTAATCCAAAAGTAGATGTTTTGATTTTAACTTGTAGTTTTAAAAGTGCCGATTTTCAAATCAAAAATTGTTTTACTGTCAAAACAACTTCTTCGGGGGTAGGTTTCTACTCGTTTCTGGTTAGTTTTTGAATAACGTGAGTAAATATAAATAAAAACTCGCAAAACGAGAATTGAAAAGCTTGCTTCATTAATTTCTATTCGACCAGTTTTCAAAACAAATCCCTGCTGCATTCACCGGATCATCCGTGAACTAGACCGGCTGAAAATATAAACGAAATACGGCCAACAATCAATACGAAACTAACGATTTTAAATTGGCTCACTACTTGACTAGCCTATTGGTCCCAAGCAAACGATTAACGTACCCAATTCTAGTCGAAATTCTAGTACTACACAATGTTTGTTTTGATTTGCTATGAAAGTTTGACAGATAAGATGAGGGGTTAGTTGATTTTTCTATGTTTCGAGGGGTGAATTGATTAGCTTCACGGATAGAAATCTCCTTATACCTTTTGGCAAATTTCCATTGCTGATTATTCATAAAATGTATAAGTCAACTAATAAGCAGACGCCTTGCAAAAAGTTAATAAAGATCATGTGTCAAATGAAATGTATAAGCGGTCACACATACCTTTTATGCATTCTAATAGGACCTATGTGGTTTGTCTTATGGAATGTATAAGGCTGATGCTTTGGCAAAAATGTATAAGTGAAACACATGAATTAAATAATTGATTTTCGTTTCGTGTTGGGACCGAAGAGAGTACCAGAGCTGAGCCAAAAAGTTGAGCACGTTTCTTCGGGACCTTCTAGTCTTAGAGTTACCTCTATGATACGGCAATACCACAGGATGAATATGGTAAGTATATCTACGATAATGCCTTGTTCAGACTACAGAGTTTTTTTACGATAACAGAATCGCTTTCTTTTCGGAAATTTTAGCATCAGCCAAAAGTAAGATCATCGTTCCGGATTGGGCCACACCAGATGGTTGAAACAGTAGCACCACAGTTTAAGGTTGAAGCAGGGGGATTGCATGGACGGCTCACGGTCCCGAAGAAAAGTGCTCAAGTTTTTCGCTCAGCTCTGGTACTATCTTCGGTCCCAAGCTAATCGATTCACCCCTCGAAACATAGGAAAATACACGAACCCCTCATTTTATCTGTCAATCTTTCATGGCAAATCAAAATAATACAGTGTCTAGAATTTCGACTAGAATGGGGTACTTTAATCGATTTGCTTGGAACCAATAGGCTAGTCAAGTAGTGAGCCAATTTTAAATCGATAGTTTCGTATTGATTGTTGGTATAAGAGATGAGCGGATTCAAAACAAACTGCCTTGGCAACCTATGCCTAGATGATTTCTTGCAACACTGTCAATGCAATCAAGATAGGCGCTGCTCGATTGGCTCTGGCTTTGACAGTTCGTTTGGCTCAAAGCCAGCCAGTCCGCTCCTCTCTTATACTAGAGCCTCTCTAGTTTAATCATATACACAGAAAAAAAAAAGTTGTTGAATATTACATCCAAACTGCTGCAACCAGGTCAATCCATCGGTTGTGTAATATAACGTTGTACGATGTACATCGATTTTGCGAACAAAATTACATCCATTGATGTAATATTGTATCTGCTTTTTGCTATTACATCATCATTTCATACATCAGCTTGAATTACATTGATCGATATTACATTTTTTTTTTGCTGTGTAGAATGATTAAAAAATAATTATCTCTTGCTAAAAAATAATCATTTGTATTAAACCCAATTACATACACGAAACGAAAATCAATTATTTTATTCATGTGTTTAACTAATACATTTTTGCCAAAACATCTGCCTTATACATTCCATAAGACAAACCATATAGGTCCTATAAGAATGCATAAAAGGTATGTGTGACCGCTTATGCATTTCATTTGACACATGATCTTCATTAACTTTTTGCAAGGCGTCTGCTTATTAGTTGACTTATAAATTTTATGAATAATCAGCAATAGAAATTTCAGAGTTGGTTGGAAATGCTAACATGAAGCTTTAGTGTGATGATTTATTAGCTAGAGAGAATGATCTTTAGAAGAATGTAGGTGGATAGTTCCGTTAGAGTACGGCAGTATGAAAATTGAATAGAAGTTGAAAATGAGCGAAGGGCCATTAAAGCGACAGTTTTCAAGATGACGCACATTTTTGCCTAGCCCGTACGATGTACGCGGGGACTTGAAGTATGTCTCCAAGTCCACAGGCAAAAATGTGCGTCCCTCTTGTTGCTCATAAACTGACTGCGGCTGTGGAATAGTTCTAGCGACGTTTTCATCACTACCTAAAGCCCCACGTCGCGAGAGCATTTCCAGTCGATGGTGTGTTATAATGCAGTTCTTCTTTACCCAACTATTGTGTTGCTCCTCTCGTCATGACCAACGTGATCATCTCAGAGAGAAAGCAGTAGGGTGGTTGTTGCGTGCTGTACCATCATCAGCATTGTTGACGGCTACTCCCGCCTTGAGTTGTTACATTCAAAGTGTTTTTTATGTTACTTCATACGCGAAGTTAACGATTTTCAGAGTTGGTTGGAAATGCTAACATGAAGCTTTAGTGTGATGATTTATTAGCTAGAGAGAATGATCTTTAGAAGAATGTAGGTGGATAGTTCCGTTTAGTGTGATGATTATCCACCTACATTCTTCTAAAGATCATTCTCTCTAGCTAATAAATCATCACACTAAAGCTTCATGTTAGCATTTCCAACCAACTCTGAAAATCGTTAACTTCGCGTATGAAGTAACATAAAAAACACTTTGAAAATAGAAATTTGCTGATTTGAGATTTCTATCCGTGTAGAGTTACCTCTACACTGAAACAAGGACCATAGTTAGGAATACTATAG